CCCCTGCCCCTATGGACTCGGCTGCTGCTCTCCCGAGCCAAGCGCTTCCCATCTATCGGCCCAGGGACTGTTTCACCCCAAGACGCAGCCACTTGCGCTACCCCCCGTCAGCGCCGCGGCGGCCGTGCCCTCCCCGTGGCTGCAAGGACGGCCCCGCTCGGGGCACCGCGACCCTCTCGGGTTGGAAGCCGTGAGCCCACAGGACACGGCGGGTTGTGCAGAGGAGACTGGCCGGGTTTTCCCGCACCTCTAAACACCCCGGGGGCATCCACATGTGCCAGGGCGCAGCCAGGGCCTTGCGACCGCTCCCCGCACCACGAAGCGGCTGCGGGTTCGTTCCGGGAGCAGCTTCCCCCATGCGCTCACCGCGGAGAGCGGCTCCGGCCACGGCCCAACACGACCCCTTGGCTGGCAATCCCACTTTGTTGTTTTCCAGTTGGATTTTAAGCCAAACGGGGACCAAACCAAAGGTTTTGAAACCCCCTTGGAAACTGGGAGCTCCCTGGTCCCCTTTTTTGTCCCATAGATCTGAGACTCCCCCTGCCCTCTCGTTTCCCTGCCATGAGAGGCCTGAAGGCCCTGGGCCCCATGGGGATCACAGCGGTGCCCGTCCTCGCAGACCCGCAGCCTCGGGGGGCTTTAGGGTCAGCAGCCTTGAGGTGCCCCTGCACTGCCAGGGCCAGCTGAATTGCCCCCAAATCCCTGGATTCACTCAACTCTCCCTCTTTCCGGCTCTTCGCCACGCGGGATCCGGCAGGGCAGCACTTCCCAAGAGGAAACGCCGGGGGAAGCACAGGCTGCCTCCGGGATCGCTCCACCGCCCTTTCGCCAACTCACTTGGAAAACGTCCGGGAGACCTTCTCCGAGTGACAGTAGACAGTGTGGAACAGCCAGGAGAAGCTGAGGCACAGCACAGCTCCGAGGAAGAACATCCCAAACACCACCTTCTCCTGGAGGGGAGCCATGAAGTACATGTTGGGCCGCAGCATGGTCAGGATCCCCAGGCAGAGGAACAGCACGAAACCTGCGGACAAGACACGGAGCCCGCGGCCCATTAGGGGAGGCAGGACCAGGGCAGCCCAGCGGGCCCCGTCCGGCGTCGGCAGAGGAGGGATGTGGACGAGGCAAACATATTGCTCCTGCAAGGAAGTGCCCTCCTCCCTCCGCACTGTCCTGTCCTGTCCCCCAGAGCCCCAGGCTGCAGCTGCCCCAGGTCAAGCTGTGTTTGTGGTGGCGTGGGGAGAAGGTGAAAGGCTGGATCCAAGGTGAAAGGCTGGATCCAAGGTGAAAGGCTGGATCCAAGCACTCGCGGAACTGGCCCTGGAAGGATCTGCGGCCCCCTGGAAGCACCGCGCGGCCAGCCAGCCACGAGCCCCCTGCAGGCACCTAGCAAGTGTGTCCAGATGTTGCCCGTCTCTGTGTGTATTCGGAAGATGCTCTTGAAGCAGGCTCGGAAGGAGGGCATGGGAGGCCTGTGTCCGTGCAGGAGGTAATCGTTGTCCTTCAGCCAGTCGGGCAGCACGTCGTAGGGGATCACGCGCCAGCGCCCTTCCCACACCTGCAACACAGGGCTCCGAGCGCTCGCCAAGGGCTCGCGGAGCTTAGAGCTGCACGTGGGGCAGAACCGCCACCCTCCCCTGCACGAGGGGCTGAAAAGGGCCCCATAACTCTGCTCTGGAAGAGGAGGTTCCACTTTTTCAGCCTCAGACACCCCTAAAACCGCCCCCATCCTGCAGGGGCCTCGCAGCAGCCTCCCCAGGGGCCATGATCCACACGTTGTGCTTCCCACCCCAGCCCCTCTCTGCTCCCCGTGCCAGGGAGCTGCCCGCAGGGTCGGAGCCTGGTGCCAGAGCCGCCCTGCGCCCTCTGCCATCGCTCACCCGCACCGGGGCCGAGCGCTGGTGCTCGGCAGAGCCGGCAGCACCGCAGCCCTCCTGGCTGCTGCCACCCACTTCCCACATTGCTCCTCAGGGACGCGGCCAGGAGGGAGCAGAGGGCGGGCAGAGCCGCTCCCCACCACCCCGGGGCCTGGGGGCTCCTCTCCTTCCCAGGACCAGGAGAACCACCGCGAGCTCCAGCACCTTGTACACGAACTCCTCCATCTTCTCCATGGCGTGGTGAGCCTGCAGGGGCAGCGTCAGCACCCGGACCACCTCCTCCTCCTCCTCCTCGCGGGCTGCCGGCCCCGGCTGCTCTTCGGCCTGCAGGGAGAAGCGCCGGGAGGAGCCCGTTCCGGCTGCGCGGAGGAACGGGAGCCCCGGAGAGCGGCCAGGCTTCCCTGGGAGCCCCCGGGGGGATGA